AAGAAATTACAGTATATCCATACAATGGAGAATCCATACAAGAAAAAGCAGTGAAGTACTGATATGTATAACACAGGTGGACCTTGAAAACATTATGCTAAGGAAAGGAAGCCAGTCACAAAAGGGCACATATTATATGACTCCACTCATATGGAGTATCCAGAATTGGTAAAGTTATAGAGTTAGAAAGTAGATTAGTGATTGCCTAGGACTGGATTTGGGATGTGAAGGTGGAGAGTGACTGCTAATGGGAATGAAGTTTCTTTTTGGAGATATGAAAATGTCATACAATTGATTGTGGTGATGGTTGCACAACTACGTGACTATACTTAAAATCATTGAATTAGACACTTTAAATTTATTGTGCATACAACAATGCAAATTATCTCAATAACGCTATTAAAACAAATAAATACAAATTACCAAGAAGGACATTCGAAGTCTTCTAATTCATTGATCGTCAAGTAAATAAAAACTTACTGTGAGATACCATATCTCTCACCAGAATTTGGAAATTAAAAGTATGCATGTGTGTGTATTCAATGAGATCTGTTTGCAAAATGCAAAGAACTATTCAAAGGCAATTTACTTCCATCATGTATATTTTGCTTCCTTCCTCATATTCAGAATATCTTAAAAGATGTTTTGTGGGATGCCTGGGTGGCTCAGCAGTTAAGCGTCTGCCTTTGGCTCAGGGTGTGATCCTGGAGTCCCAGGATCAAGTTCCACATCAGGCTTCCTGCATGGAGCCTGCTTCTCCCTCTGCCTATGTCTCTGGCTCTCTCTCTCTCTCTGTCTCTCTCTCTCTCTGTGTCTCACGAATTAATCTTTTTAAAAAGGTGTTTTGTGAGTCCAAAGCATGGAGAATTCATGTTACAGATATCCTAATTCATGTTTTTGCTCAAAGAAATAACAAATATTTGCAGTTTTGCTCAAATGCACAAATTCTATAAGAAAACCAAAGCTGGGTTAGTGAAAAGTGATCAATTCTCTTCTTTTCTTCCCTACTGGAAGACATTAGGAACATCTATGCTTTATCCCCTTGAGTGGCAGCATAAGTAACAGCAGCTACTCCCTATGGACAGAAGGAGCCTGGTGTGTTCCAAATGTGTTGTGAGACATTTGTGAGTGTTGTGGTGGTCTCCTGGAGAATACACAGCTGTCTTGTGCACCAGCCTGTGGTCTCTATAAATTTGTTTCAATCTAAATATTCTTTCACTACAGAAGAAATGGAGGACTCTTTTCCATATAAAATTCAAGAGCTTCTACCCAATGTAGTAAAAACCACATGGCAAAATGAACTGGATGCTATAGACAAAATAAGTTTTGAACCAACTCCACAACACAAGGATTTCAGAAAAATTTGAAGCTGCAGAATGAATTTCATCTTGAGTCAAACACTTTATCTTACTAAGTCAATGGGAGTGATTTCACAGTTGCATTCTTTCCCAAAAAGTTTCAAAAGTACAACCTTGGCTTGCTTGGGTGCTGAGAAACATATATAAGCCAGAGAAAGCAAATACTTGGCATATTTTGTCACATCTCTTTTACTTACCTGAGTGTAGCTATTGCTTATCCTTGTAAGGCACTTTTTTCTACTGAATGAACATAGTCCAAGACTCTCAGGACAGTGCCCCAAGCATTCATTACTATCAACCAATAAATTCTATTTACCACTCCTGATATAGGCTATTCCAAATTGAGATGTGTGTGTGTGTGTGTGTGTGTGTGACTCAACTATTTAAAAGAGCCTTTGCAGTATACTTATCTTTATGTAAGGTTTACCTTTCAGAATTATAGGATTTACAAGTAGAAGCAGACCAATAGTCACTCAATAAAGGGTAATGTTTCTCATTTAATTTGTTTTAAACGCCTTCAAATTTGTTTGAAATGTCTTGATTCTTTGGCTTTGACTCTTTGATTTTTGCAAATATAAAAATGCAGGCAGAACTTTTACCATTAGAAGCCATTTTCTGGAAATAATCTGACATGTGCTATTATACCTACTTACGTCAACCCATTTGGTGCTCCCCCAAACCCTATACAGAAGATACTATTAAAATAACCAAATTACAATTGAGGAAACTGAGACACAGAACTTTATGTAACTTTAATTCTGAAGCTGGAAAGGACTTCATCTTGGTTAAAGTTTGTTACTTGGGGTGCTTGTTTTGCATGTCTCTATACCCCCTTTCTCCATGATATAAGGTTTTGTCTAAGTTAAGAAGCTAAGCGTTAAATAAGTGTTCCTCACCAGATTCCTTCTTTTGAAATAATGAACAAAAACTTCTTTTCCAAAAAACAATAGCTTTGTTTTTGAAGACAAAACCTGACAGTTCTTTTGTCTCAACTTTTCTTGCTAAGAATTCTTTAAAAGTGCCTGCCTTATTATTATTGTTTTTTGTCTCCAAAGCAAGTTAGAACAATTCATAACTTGGAGCAACCACGAAGCCCTGGAATTCCACAGTTGATTGTGTGTTATGCCCATAAATCTTCAAATTAGTCAAGCTTAGTCAGTACACAGGAGTACAAATATAAAATAACGTGGATAAACATTGGTAATTTCGAACCAGAGCACAAACCTGCAATTTTTTTCACCCAAATAGACAATTATTTATATATATCCAGAGGTAGAATCTAAAAAAATAAAGATAGTTATGAAAATTGCAAAAACTAGGAAGCCTGGGGGGCTCAGTGGTTTAGCGCCGCCTTCAGCCCAGGGCCTGATCCTGGAGTCCTGGGATCGAGTCTCACATCAGGCTCCCTGCATGGAGCCTGCTTCTCCCTTTGCCTGTGTCTCTGCCTCTCTCTCTCTCTCATGAATAAATAAAATCTTAAAAAAAAAAAAGAAAATTGCCAAAACTGAAGCAGTGAATGCATCTCTTTTCAGCAGAGCAAAATAGAATCATTTATCAAAATGGAATTTCAATTAAATTGGAAATGAAAATGGAAGTTTTCTATTTCCTCTAACAAGTAGAATCTAAATACACTTAACTGGCTATTTCCTCCACACATTCTCAATTAAAGTATTGATCAGCATCTGATGAAATATGGAAAATAACTAGAATTCTATTCCCAAATTCCTTATCTGTTCAGTCATGAGGAAGTTAAGAGGTTTGCATAGTTTTTCTAGTTTTTTAATTATGATTTTCATTAGTGTTTCTCAGGCAAACAAAATAATATACACTGTATAATTCTGTATTTAACTCCCTTACCATAACAATTCTCAAATATCCAGTATCCATCCATAACCACTTAAATGTTATATCATTAGAGTTTACTGTGTTCTTGGTATGTTATCAGCAATGAAATTAGAGGTTCCCATCTAGTATTTATACTGCTTCAAGGAAGTCTAACCAATAGATTTGAAAAAAATCTCACAAGTGTCCTTTGATTACACAACAGGATTAAGCTCCATGGAAAGATAGCAGTGGGATAGCTTTTCATCTTTAAAGATTTCTTAAGCAAGCTTGCTTTTGCCATGGAAAGATTTCAAAAACCATGATGATTCATGATAACCAAGAGGTTTTTGGTGGTTGTTGTTGGAAGGGATGATTTTTTTTATAGCTTTATTGAGGTAAAATATACATTAAATTTCACAATATGTATACACCTGTGAAGCTGTCACCATAATCAAGATAGGAACACGTCCATGATAGTTTCTGAAGATACCAGTAATGTAAGCTTTTGGCGATCATCTTATCTCCAGGGACATCCGGCACTAGTAGGCCATATTTATTGTCTATTGAGTGAATACATTTTCTCTAATTTATTATCACTAGACGTCTTTTGAACATTAGTGTACTAGAAGAACAAAGGGTTGGACAGAACTTAGGCTTTTAAGTTTCAGCATTTCTGAGAAGCATCTGCATAGTGCTGAAGTTGGCCTTTGAATATAAAAATCAACAGGTATGAGACCCTGGCTAGGCCTCCGGTGGCTTAGCAGTCTCACAAAGCCCAAGTCGTTCAACTCCATGTCCCACCTTTTCTAGAGAAAGAGTGATGGATACGCCTATTCTTCTACTATGTGTGGGCCCGAAATTCATTTTTTTTCCAACCACGTCAGTTTATAGACGATTAAAGAACAAATAATGCACAAGTCTTGTTTGAAAAGATGGGTCAAAATATGGGAATCATACATTTATAAGCCAACTTCTCTGAGTCGAGTTTATCTTTCAAGTATCTTGCACTTTGTCAGAGACAGCTGTAAAGGAAAAAAAAAAAAAGAAGCAGGAGCAGCAGCAGCATGGTGCCTGAAATGTCCACATTTTCAAATAAAATAGACTGCACAGACAGCTTATCATGTATATGGCTTTGGCTTTTTGTCCTGCCTAGTGACATCGTATTTGCTTTCGGTGCTGGTCCGGACGAGGTCTGGTAGGTATAAGCTTGTCTCCGAGGCTGTCCGGGTGGTTCTTCCCCGTACTCCACTATTTTCAGCCCTGTTCTGGGAACAACTGTTTTTAAGGACGCAGCAGTTAACCTCGGGGTTGCAGTTCCCTGGCTCCCGCCAACACCCTTCTTCACCCTTCCCCGCGCGGACCCACGGCCCCTCCACGGCGGATACTGGTCACCCTGAGAGCGGTGGCCTTGAGGTCTCTAAGCTTCCCTCGGTGGCCCGGGGTCCCAAGACACCGGTCCCGGGCTCAACTTCGGGAGTTGGGAGGGCGGCTTCGGCTCGGAGCTGCTTCTCCCTGCTAACCTTCTCCGTAGGTTCTCAGCCTACCGGGAAGAAGGTTCGCGTGCCCTCGGCAAATGCCCTAGTGGGTAGGGGCCTCCCCCGCAGGCCGGGGCTGCCGCGGGAGGCCGGGGGGGGGGGCGGGGAAGGCCATTTTCACCTGCGTAATGACAGGCTTGGGAGCAGCGAAGCGGCGGCCGCGGCCGGAGGAGGAGGAGGAGCGCCAGCGGCGGCCGCGGCGGGGCCGGGAGGAAGAGGAGGGGGAGGAGGAGGAGCTGAGGCGGCGAGAGCGGCAGCCGGCAGCTCGGCCGGAGTTGCGGCGGCGGCGGCGGCGGCACTGACAGCGCAGCATCCCCGAGCCGCGAGTCCCGGCGGGGGCCGCGCAGCCACCGCACCTTGGCCCCGCCAGACCGCCTTGGCCGCGCCGGTGGAGCGGGGGGCACCGCCAGCCATGACCGCGCCGCCGGATCCCCGAGACGAGCTGCTGCCGCTGGCAGGCTCCGGGTCCCAGTGGCTCGGGGACCGGGGGGAGGGGGAGGACGAAGCGCTGACGGCGGCGGGGGCCAAGCCGGCGCCGCAGGCGGGGGAGCCCGGCCGGGGGTTGGGCGCCGGGGCCGGGGAAGCGGCGCCGCGGGAACTGGACTCGGGCCCCGCCCGGCCGCCGCCCGTTGCCATGGAAACTGCATCCACAGGTAAGGCGGGCGCAGCTGCCCCGCAAATGGCGTCGGGGACCCGGGTCCCCCCCCCCCCACCCAGCCGGCCCCCGTCCCCGCACCTCGGCTCCGCACCTCGCCCGCGCTCTCTACCTTGAGCACCAACCTCTCAGCCCGCTTCGCCACGGGCGACTGTAAATATTGGCGGACTGGTAGAAAACAGGATTTTTAAATTCTATTATTTATTTATTTATTTATTTATTTTAACCTCCAGAGGCTCGGAAGAAGACACGATACTACTGATTCATCTTATTTTATTATCATTGTTGTCTCGGCTTTGCAGATTGTCCTCGGAGGCAAGCCGCAGCATCCTGGCTGCAGGCGCGCCCGCGGACAAGTTTCTTCCTTCCGCCGAGGGGTTGGGGGCTGTAGGGCCCGCTCGGCCAGTTGCGATGATTTTTCGGGGCGTGTTTGCGCTCGGCGTGCGCGCGGGCTCCAGGGGACGCAGACAACAAAGCGCCGGGCGGGCCGGCGGCGGCGGGATCCCGCTGGGGCCGGGGCACGGATGTGGCTGGAAGTCTCCCTTGCCCCTTGGCTCCACACGTCGCCACACCCTGCTCCCTCCCAGTGCCCCCCTCCCGTCCCCCACCTCCCCGTCTCTGCCGCCGAGAGCAGAAATCGCAAGGTGTGCGTGTCTCGTTCCGGAGGGGCAGCTTTGCGAGAGGATTGGGAGTTGTGACTGCCCCCGCCCGGAGCTGCCCAGATGTCCCCATCTTGCGGGGAGCATTGAAACTTGGAACCAGTAAGAGCTGCCGGCCTGGCTGCGGCGTGAGGGGGCTTGAGTGGTGGTGGTGAGCCAACGAGGCACAGTTTACCGGCAGCCCGAACCCCCCCCCCAACCCCGGGCATTTGGAAATTGCCTTCATTTCGGTCACTCTTAGCCTGATTCCCCCTCTTCAAGCCAAGCCCCGAGCGCGCGGGTGCCCAGCTGGGACCAGGGAGGGCCTCGGAGCATCCAGGCCGAAGGATGCGGGAGGGGAGCTTTGGGGAGGGGCTGCCGGCCCGAGGGGCCCAGTGTTTCCAGACAGAGGGTTTGAGGGGGCCCTGTTGTGTTGTTTTCTGCAAAAGCTTTGCTGTAGTGGGATGGGAGTTGTGTAGCTGTAGTCCTCGAGGATCTGGGGTAGTGGGGGCTTCCGGGAGAGGGAAAGGGGGTGGGGCTGCCTGCTGTTCTTGGCAGCTGATTTAGGGGAACCCCTTTCTTAAGCCATCTCCTCTCTTAAGGGTCATGTGGAGTGCCTTAGGTAGTCTTAGCTCTGGTCTAGTACAAAACATTTGAGTTGCGGAAAGCAGGTTTGGGGAATGCGTTAAGTAAAACATTTCAACATTCTGGTGGGATGAGAAAAAATTGGGACCATAATCAGAAAAGAGAGAGAGAGAGAGAGAGAGAGAAAAGAAAACTCCAAGGAAGAAAAGCCCATTTGTCATATATTAATTATTATATGAGGGGGTGGGGTGGGAAGGATTTAAGACTAAGAATTGTTAAAAAAAATTTAAAAAAAAAGACTAAGAATTGTTGCTGGGCCTCTCAACTTCATCTGAATGAAAACAAAACTCAGTATAATTGCAAAGAAAGATGGAAGAAGATAATAAACAAAGGGAGGTACTTTTTTTTGTTGGTTTACCATTACTGTTTTTTTGTAGCTCACAGTTCAGAACCTTTATCCACCATCATCAAAGTCAATTATTTCTTTACGAATACTCCCATTGGTGTCACAAAGGTTAGGAGAACCTGAGAAGGAAGCTGGTGCCTGCCCTGTGTTCAGTAGCATACTATGCACTAAAATGAGTTGTTATATATAAACTATTTAGAACCTCTCTTGTCACAAAGTAGCCATTTGCAATGTTTAACATTGTTATTGTTATTAATATGGGAAATTATAGAAATATTTTACTTTGTTGAATGTGTTGGAGGTTTCCTGTCTTAAACAAATACGTCAGTAAAATGGAACATGATCATGCTAAGTTTGGATGGGAAGGGGATGAAGGGAGGGAAAGGAGCATATATTTTGCATATTTATAGAGGACATTTTTATTTTATTATTGCTGCTTGAAGGAATGTCTCATATAGTTGTTGATTATTTACTATTTTAAATCTACATGTTTTATATTTCTTATACTGGAGAGGTTTCTATTAGAGACCTAGATGCTGGAAATGATATCTAAATAAGTAGCTAGGTTTTGAAAAATACGAACAGAGGCTGACTCAGATTTTGTAGCTTCCTTGTCAGTTATTGTGGCAGTTTTATTGCTATAAGCAAAGTCAGGAGGTGCATCTTTAACTTTATCAGAGACAAAATCCAGAGGGAGCCTATTAAATACACTGATTTACTTTTTTTTTTTTTTAAAGAATGGTGCTCTTTGAGACTCAAACTAAGAAGTAGCTTGGATTTTGAGCATGACGCACTGTAAACAGATTTTGTTTCTTTTTCAGATAGAATTATAAAGTGTAAGACAGATATTGATATTTTAAAAGCTTTTCTTTCTGAAAAACAGCACTAATCGTGCCATCTGGACAGAAATTCTGTTTTTATTTTTATACATTGATGGTAATTAGAGCTCCTAAAGGAACATTTCCAAAAATATTTCTTAGTAATGGTCCTGCAATGAATATATGCTTAAACATCATTAAAACTGCACTGTATTTTCAGGTATTCTCACTACTTCTGTCCGTTTGTGGATTGGAAAAGTTCTTAATAAAAAGTAACACTTTCTTTTAAAGCTGCAATTTTTCATGTTTAAAATTGACAATGGGCATGCAAAATGATGTCTATTGCCAAGGGAACATTTAATACACCATGTGTAGGCCACAACATGTTAGAGTTGTTAAATCATGAATCAGTGCCATCATCTAATAACTTCATACAAAGGATGGTAAGAGCAACTGTTTTGTTTTTTCATGATCAGTTATTTTATTCCTGGAAACTATTCAAAGGGAGCATACAATAACACAAGGATAGAAGAATGGCCCATTGTTTAAAGGAAGAATTTAAAATAGAACATTTGAACAAAATGCAGTGGTGAGAAGTTAACTCATGGTCACTTTGGAAATTAACTCATTGACTGTTTTATGTGTGCAAGGCAAAATGAAGAGCAGAAGGGAGAATGGCCCAGAGAAATTGGTATGATTTGCTTCTATAATACTAACTTATAGATAATTTGACTTAAATTTCTGGATGATTGGAGAGAGAAAGAAATCTTTATTTGGGCCACAATGCTCATAAATTTTTATTTTTCAAAAGTTGAATGTGATACTCTTTTGAAAAAACTATAAATTATCTATCATGATTTAAATAACTTCAGAGGGATCCCTGGGTGGCTCAGCGGTTTAGCGCCTGCCTTTGGCCCAGGGCGCGATCCTGGAGACCCGGGATCGAATCCCACGTCGGGCTCCCGGTGCATGGAGCCTGCTTCTCCCTCTGCCTGTGTCTCTGCTTCTCTCTCTCTCTCTCACTGTGTGCCTATCATAAATAAATAAAATAAAATAAAATTTAAAAAAAAATAACTTCAGAATATTTGTATATCCTGTGTTTATTCTGCTTAGTATAATAAATTATACCATATACATTACTGAATCACTGAAATTCAGTGGAATCTAAAATTCATTTGGAGGCTGGATTGAATCTCTTAACTTGTGGATGTGTTTGAATGATGTGTGTGCTTTTTTTTTTTTTTTTGGAGCCATTCCCAGCAATCCCCTTTGGAAGGTGTAAATTTCAATTTTCTGTTTTCTTTCATCTTTTGAGAAAGCTACAGTTGTGTTGGAATGAGTAGGAACACTACTTTTACAATATTTTGCAGAATGTATGAGAAGAATAGAGTTTCCAAAGTAATTTATTTCTCTGGACATAGCCTCTGGTTATAATCAATAACATTTTTGGCAGAAAGTATGGTATATATCCTTTCATATAGGGAATTCAAATCAGCTTAAGTTAAAATTCAGAAACACCTACCCTAAAAATACATTGATAAGGCCTTCTTGCCTCCCGTCTCTTTTCTAGGGTGTTCATCTACTTCTGATTCTGCAGGTTTGGAGACTAGTTGTGGATTTTCTTGCTCATTATACTGTATCCTGAATAGTGAGGGTTCCAGAAAGTTTGTATTATCTGTAAAGTGAGAAACTATTGACATTCAATTCAACTCAGTAAACAATCATTGGATGCCTTCTTTTTGTAAGTGTCTGTGCTAAATACAGGTCATAGTTTCCTTGAATATGTATGTACATCTTTCTGTTTCACTTTAGTATTCAGTTAAATGAAGTGGTTCCTTTGGTGTCATTTTTCATTTTCCTTATTCATAAGACATCACTGGAAGCTTGACTAGGAGGGCATTATAATAATCTAACCACATGAGCACAAGGGCACGAGCACAAGTTTCTGAGGTCAACACAGGATAAATACACACAAGCACAACCTTCTCAGGCCACACAGCTGTGGGAAAACAAAAATCTATATATCTGCATATCTATCAATCTGTGGGGTTGGGAGCAAGGGAAGGGAAGGTTTTATTTTTTTACTGGGGGATTTTAAAGCACATTTGTAAAGCAATACAAATGATTCAGTAGGGGTGGAAAGATGGACAGTGTAGGAAAGAGAAAGAGTGCATTTCCTGCCACTGAATAGGTGAGGGGAATGGATCCAGGGCACAGCAGAGGGATGATGCTAGATGGACTTAAGGGCAGTTTGTGGCTATAACTGGAGGGAAGACAGGGGAGTGGGGCACAGGCATGGGGTGGGGCCGAGCTCAAGTAGTGGTTTTCTTCCAGCTGTTTCTATTTTCAGTGAACTAGGAAGCCAGGTCAAGAGCAGAGCTAAGAAGGGAGTGGAGTTGGAAGTTTGAGAGGAGGGAAGAAAGTATAAAATTGTTGCTAGAATGGCAGGCTGAAAGGACTAGTGGAAACTGGGAATTCTGAGCAGTTCTAAGGCTCACTTGGAGTTTGTGGTCATGAGCTTGACATGAGACCAGTTACCATATATATTATC